CTGTAGCTCTTTCATTTATGCAAATCCAGTTGCTCAAAGCAGGTATTCTGATGTGTCAGCTGTATGTAACATGGGCACTTTGCAGCATAAATGACATTCTTTCTTTGCGCTCATAATTGTCCTGTACTCCCTAATGTTTCTGAAACAGGTGGATCATGAGCTGCTGTTTCAGGTGGCTTAGGTGAGGAGGATAAATGCTGAATGGCATTTTTTTTTAGTTGGGGGGATGTTAGTGTTGAGTTGAATCCTACCTGGATTAGGGCAATCCCAAGCACAGTTTACAGGCTTGGCAGAGAATGGATTGAGAACAGCCCTGAGCAAAAGGACTTGGGGATCTTGGTTGATAAGAAGCTCAATATTAGGGGGAAATGTGCCCTTGCAGGCCAGGAAGTCAGCTGCATCTTGGGCTGCATCAAAAGAAGTATGGCCAGCAGATTGAGTGAGGTGATTCTTCCCTTCTACTCCTCTCTTGTGAGACCCCACCTGGAGTACTGTGTCCAATTCTGGAGCCTCCAAAACAGGAAGGACCTGGAGCTGCTTGAGTGAGTCCAGAGGAGGCCACAAAGACAATCAGAGGGCTGGGACACTTCACCCAGGAAGACAGGCTGAGGGAGTCGGGGTTGTTCAGCCTGGAGAAGAGGAGGCCTCAGAGAGACCTCATAGTGGCCTTTGAGTACCTGAATGGGCCAGAGGAAAGGTGGAAAGGGATTGTGTACAAGGGCATGTAGTGATAGCACAAGGGGTAATGGTTTTAAGCTGAAATATTTAAGTAGAAAGAGTAGATTCATATGAGCTATTAGGAAGAAATTCTTTCCTGTGAGGATGGTGAGACACTGGAACAGGCTGCCAGGGGAGCTGTGGATGCCCTCTCTCTTGAAGAGTTCAAGGCCAGGTTGGATGGGGCTTTAAGCAACCTGGTCTAGTGGGAGGTGTTTCTGTCCATGGCAGAGGTTTAGAAGTAGGTGATCATTAAGCTCCCTTTCAGAATTATGAAATAAGGTGAGAAGACACTTTTGACCAGTTCATTTAAAAAATTGTATTAATTAAATATTTTCTAAAATGGAGCTGCAACTCTTAGTAAGGTAAAAAGCAGTTCCTCTCTGCCTTGGAGGACAACATTTTGGTGCAGATTGTATCTTAAACTTATTTATATCTGAAGTACTGTGTTCCAAAGGCTGGTAAGAGATTTATTGTGATGTATTAAACCATCTGTTCCCAAGGACTGTGCTTCATATTCCAGCACTAACCAATGCTTGTGACGTTGCTTTTTTGATTCTCAAAGCTCCTTTGCCACTTTAACTTGTTTAGATAACTGGGAGATTTCATTGACTTGAAAAGCAGATGCCATCCTCAAGTCTTGAGTAGACAACAGGGGAACTCAGCTATAGGGATACTTGCAACTTTATTCCACTGATTTCTTTTTTTTTCCTTGCTTATCCAGATTCCTAATAACTAGTGGAATAAGTATAGAAAAAAATGCATAGGAGCAGCTTTCCCAAAATGTAGCTATGAATGGAGAAAAGACTTTGAAAGGGCAGTGTATGATACATTTACTTTTTTTTTTGAGATAGCTAGTTATGAGGTAGAACATATATTATTTTATTTCAATAAAATGTATGGAGCAAATTGGAGCAGGTCTGCTGGTGATCAAAGTTCAAATGTTGTGAACTCTTTTTTTCCGTCCACAGAAAAAATAGCAGGTGACAGGAAGCTTTTATTTCTCTGTAAGCATTGCACTCAAACTCAGAGAGCTTTCAGAGGTCATGCTGTACTGGCAGTGTTTTGTTATGATTGGAAGGAAATAAAATTTGGAGAGATAATAGTTTATTTGCCAAAAAAGGCAGGCTTGGCTCTACCTAACCTATTCACAGAATTTGCATGTTAGATTCGTTAGTGTCTACTATCCACTTCACCAAATGCTTTTGTTGGTTTTGTTGTTGGTTTTGATATTTTTGTTTGTTTGGTTGGTCTTGTTTGGGCTTTTTTCTTCCTCTTGAAGTCAGTATTTCTCTTTTAGTGTTGATTTCTTTCTGAACGAGAGTAAGGGCTAAGCATTTGTTTAATACACTTGAACTATGCACTTTCTAAAGGGATTGAGTTTGTTCCTTGCTCGTAATGTGCCTAGTTGAAGAGAGCATAAGTGTGTGCTGTCCCCCCAGCGGTGGGGGGTGTATGTGCTTATTTTTTCCACTGCTTTAATCTGTCCTCTATATCCAATGCAAAAAAAAGGTAACTTAAACACTGACTCACTACACTATTCTCCATACTCATGACTCCTGGATTTTGTACTCTGTATCATCTTCAACATTCCACAGATGGTGGAGGAAGCAGAAAGAAAAAGGCCCTCAGTGATCCATAATGATTAGTATTTGTTAAGACTTAGAACACATGCTTTTTTGTTGAGGAGCCTTATGGAGACAGGGGTCTTTTTTGATACTCAGTTTCCTATTTGCATGGTTGCCACACAAAGTCATGACTCAGGAGGCATCCATAAGAGCCAGTGGAACTGGTCTGTAGCTGGGAGACTGTGTCATGTGGTAGGACATCTCTGAACATATTTAACGAGTCTCTTCAACCATGTGATTGTAAGGAGAAGCAGTAGGCTGGCCTTACAGAGCTCAACATCCATAGGGCCTATGACTTTTCCTAGACAGGAAACCTCCATCATGGCCTCTGTCCTGCTTTATAGCACCTGTATCCTATGGCAGAAAACACTTGGTGTACAGTGGTCTGAAATGAATTACACTGGAGTGATCTAGTCTTCTGGATGACCTGTGCTCAAAATGTGTCTTCATAAGCTTGGCTTGTATGGAAAGAGAAAAAGAAAGGAAGGAGAAGGGTAAGATGAAGGTGTGGATTTTCCATGTGGGTGTGTTTTCTGATTAGTAAGATCTGAGGACCTTAGAGGTTTCTGGCAGAACCCTGCCATCAGGGACTGGAAAGACAATGTACTTCATTAGATTTATCAGCAGTCCTGGCTAACTGGGGAGGTCCCAATGGATTGGGGGGCAGGAAATGTGGTACCCATCCTCAAGAAAGGCTGAAAGCAGGATCCAGTGATTCTATGATTCCATGAGATGACAGAGGACAAACTGACCAGAAGTGCTCTCCAGAGCACTCTCCTGGCTCTGGGGAATATCTCATTACACCAAACTGGCTTGGGGGCATATGGGGATAAGTACCTAGCAAACCTGCACTGTGACAAGATACCATGGGCATTCTTCACACAAAGAGATAGTCCAGATACAAGGAGATGGTGCATGTGCATCTTATTTAGGCCACCCATCATCTTCCAGGAAAATTTTGGGCTTGCCTAGTGGTACATAATAAAGATAGCTTAGAAGTGAGAAAATAAGTGGAGACCTCAGAAAACTAGAGAGGAAGGAAGGACATGGCTAGCCAGGTTTAGGCTGCAGTGATAGGGAAAAGCAGCAAGGGGGACATATAGTCAAGAGGAACAAAGGAGGCACATGATTTTGGAACGCCTAATTTTGTCTTATACTGAGTCCAAGAGCTTTAGGATCAGAAGGCTTTTACATATGTTTTTTCTGAGCTGTGGTCTGCTCAGGCTACATGGGAACATACAACATGTTTGTACTTGCCACTGTTCCAAATGCAGAACAGCAGAATAAAAAGTAGAAAGAATAAAGGTATGTTGCGCATCTACTGCATGTTAGATGTAGCTTAATCATGTTTGGAGCTGAAATTTTCTTGATAAGACTTGCAGCAAAGCTGAAAAATGAGTGGCTTTGTTGCTCACAAATATCTCAAGATCTACACTGAGGATGCAAGTGGTGTACAGGGCTGATTACACTGGGATGAACCTGTCAAGGAAAAGTGGCTTCATCCTGGCTCAAACCAGGACAGAAACTCAGTGAGAGTTTGGGCACAATTTCTCTAGTACCACATGGGTTTTGGGAACTGATTTCACATTGTTTAGGTTTTAGAATATCTATTTCAATTTATGTATCTTGCATACAAGGCTAGAAATACTACAGAGGTGTAGAAGCAGACTGCAGGGCACACATAGCCATGCATGCAAACTATGTATATACCTACAATAAAGAAGTAGCACATATTCCTAGACTCTACTTGTTATCAATCAATGAAGGAAAAGAAAGGAAGAGTCTTTCACAAGAGTGTTGTGGGAAAAGTGGTGAAATAGTAGAAAGAGTTTTGCTTAGAAAAGTTTTTATTTTTGTTCTGTTTGTACAGTGCCTAGTCCAACATGGATTTTCATGGACAGCCATGGATGGAGTGCAGATAATAATATATTGATTTGCACAGTTGGTAGGTTATTTGCAGTAAATGAAAAAGAAAAAGCCAGAAACCACCTCCAAAATACCTCTGCCAAACCTGCTCTTTGAAAGTAACAGGGATTGTATACATACACCAGTCATACAGTTCCTTTTCCTCATCAGCCTTTTTGTCTTTCAATGCCTGGCCAATCCCAAATTTTAGGTACCTACTTGTCCCTTTGATGTAAATAAAGCAATTGTTCTTCTAGGCTAATTTCTTGTTTAGTGAGAGAATAAACTATGTCACATTAAAAGGAGAACTCCAAGAGGTTTCCCTTTCACCTTGAACTCTGTTTTTGGTTTTACTGGAAGGAAATATTAACCGGAGCTGTCCTAGAAATGAGTAAGAGATCCTAGGAGCATATCCAAGGATTCCCATGGTACTTCCTGGGAAATATATTGCCTGCGTAGCTGAATTAACTCTGCTTCTGCTACCTAGGAATTAATGTCCTCTGATACAGTTTTTGTTATTTTGCTATTGCCAAACCCAAAAAGTCAGAAAGCCTACAAAATCATATAGACTTTGGGAATTACCGTGACTACTACCTAAAAGGTACTAGAGAAAGTAGATTGTTTACCTTAATTTCCTTAGTTGCATGCAAACAAAATATATACAGGCAATTATTACAGAATTCTTGGAAAGTGGACTTCAAGTGTACAATCAAGCAAAATTAGAGTTATTAATAAGGAAATCTTTAATTCAACTTGAGCGTTCAGATTTTTTTTCACTTTGATTTGGGTGTTGGTTTCCTAATCTTACTAGAAGCATAGAATTATTATTTAAATACCTATCTAGATGCTTTATAAAATCAGGTAGGATATTTTTAATTAGTGCAGGTTAAGATTTCTACATTTAGTAGTACTGCAGAGAGCAGTGAATCAGCTATGTTACACTAGTCCTAAGGTTAGTGTTGCAGGGAAAAATATTTCATTTACATGCTCTATTTTAAAATGTAGCATTTCTGAGAGGTGGAAACCTGTATTGTACAGCCTTGGTATAATACTTGGGATATTGTACTTTTGGGAATGAACTCATCCCTGAGTGCTGACACAAAACTTGAACACATGATCTTATGTTTACAATATAGTATCTCATTCTTAATATAATTTATCCAATCAAGCATTGCAGACAAGGTGCTGATATCTTGCTTTTGTGAAGGCTAGTGTTTGGAGCAGGTCTGTCAATTTAACTTTCTGCTTCAACTGGATTCTTACTATGTGATTTTTGCTAGGTTACCTACCTAATTTCCTTCTTTTGCCTATCCTTCTCCCTGTCTTGAAAATGCATGTAATTTCTGGCCTCTTGAAGGGTTATTATTCAAAACATACGATATTGTAGTTCTGGAGAGAGATTATATTAGAGCTGCTGTGGTAATCTCCTTTCACTACTTTGATAGGAATTCACAACAGTTGAGCACTTGCACAAAATCCCCAGTTGCTCTACTGTCTTCTTTTTCTTCTGAACACTGGATTTATAAATGCTGCTCCTGTATGCCTTAGTTCTCCCAAAATAGAGCCCCCTCCAAAAAAATTCTCATGCCTTGGGAAATTTCAGCTTGCAGATGGTAAATCTCTCCTGTGGTTGAGAGGAGGGGAGAGACAAAAAAAGTTAGCAGGGCTGGAAATGCATAAAAATAAAGATAAGCTAAAAAGTGAAGAAAGAACCACGCTGAATACCAGGGTGAGGTCTTGAGAACTCCCAGCTAAATGAAGCAATCCACAAAACATTTATAGCTGCTTTTAAGGTACCAAGAATTTGTCAAGTGTTATGCAGCAGCAAGCAGCCAGCATGAGACAGAAAACGTTCTTAGACATAAGTACTGATGCTAGCCAAAAATCCGTGCAGTTGTTCCTAATATTATATTTTTCCTATTGATTTGGATGGAGACTTGCAAGTTTCTCTTTATGCACTAGAGAAAATGAAGTTTTTGAATTTGTACCCAAAATGCTCCTTCACTGAATTATTTACAAGTGTTTTTCCAATTGGCAACTATACAAAAATCATTTGAGAAACTCTCTGTGCCTTTGGCAATGCCACTGGTGAAAAACT